TATGTATGTATGCAAATGTATGTCAATATAAGAGATCACAAGTAGTCCGCAAACACTTCTTCATTCGTTCTATACATAAGAGGAAAATGAATGGAGAAGAAGCAGAGCTAAATATAAAATGTGATGGTAGATAAATTAGAGGGCAAGCAGGAACAGAGAAGAAATAAATAAGAGAAAAATTATAGATAAAAAGGAAAATGTAAAAAATGAATAAATAAATAAAAGAAAGTGAGTAGGCTTTAGGAGCCAAAATATATATATATATATATATATATATATATATAGTCATGAATATTGGGAACAGGGCAGTAGTAATGAACCGAAATACATATATAAGTAAATATGTATAAGGCTTACAGTTTGGTGTAATTGAGTTTATATACTGCAGGATGTTAAAAATTCATCGCATCAACAAATTAGAGTAGATCAGAGTCGCACATAAGGGGAGAATGGGGAACCGTCAGACCACTTTGGCCAATTTAGCAATCATATATGTATAAAATTGCACGAAACAAAGGAATGAAGGACCGAATGAAATATAATAAGACAAACTTCACAGGTGTTGGAGTTGAATAAAGTGGATGGCGGACAAGATAATGCAAGAGATGAAGTAAAAGAATGAACGAAATTAAAGAGGGTGCCATGCAAGCAAGTGCTGATGATTAAAGAGCACAGTTAAGATACAAGAATACCCTATAAGGTACCTTGATAAAGAACGTTATTAAGAATTTTTGCTAAATGAAAAATTTAGCGATATTGCTCTACTCTGATAAAATGCAAAAACTAAAAATTGCATCCATAAATGAGACATAATGGAACTTACAAAATAAAAAGAGGGCAATGTGGAGGGAAAGGGTCGTAGAGAAACCTAAAGGTTAGATTATGAAAGATAAAATGAGGACAGTTGAAAGACATAAAAAGAGATTCTCGCGAGAGAAACGCAAGGCTAGAAACATTGGTTTGGAAACTCAAGACCATGTTATGCCAAAAATTATTGGGATAGATCTCTTTCGCAGACAAAAAAGTAAATTAAAATAAGGATGTAAATAAGCAAAGACAGAGTATATGTGGGCGCGTGAGTGTTTATTTGGAGACGTATATGGGCCAGAATAGAAATTTACCAAAAATACCCGAAAAGAATGAAAATCGATTTTTAATTGAAGCATCGAAAGAAAAATGGAAATGCTGAGCCAATTACTGGTTGAAAAAAACTAGAGAAAGGATTAGACAAAGCAAGTCTAGCGTAGAATTTGAATATGATTCAAAACCGAAAAAGAAGTTTCAACTAGCTTGTTATTAAGTGGATAGATTTCACTTCTGAATTTCCTCAACAAAAACAAAGGGATAGTTCAGTAAGTTCTCATAAAAACAGCGAATAAGATTAAAGTTAAGAAATCTATCATTTTGGGATATCTGAAATTCCATAAGCTAATTCCATATTTTTGTTATCCTTGTATGGAAAAGGTATAGGGGCGCATATGATAATTACTTTATAAAGGAAATGAGAAAAGAAAGTTAACGATTAAAGAAAAAAGAACTAAAATGTGAGAGGATCTAATAACTCAAACGTATTGGATTGGACTTATGAAGTAATAATAAATATGAAATGAATAATGAGAGAATTCTTCATTGATCACTAAGTATAAATGAAAAGCAGAACGCTCCTTGGCTCATTTTAGTAAAACTGAAAAAAGAAGACAGATAAAGGCATGATGGTGGGAAAATAGAAAAGACCGAAGGCATTAAGAATAAATCTTTTACGAGCTTTGACAATAAATAAGCTAATCACTCGCGAGCCATCGCGTTTATAACGGTCAGTGATGAATGGACAAAGGCAATCAAGAAGAAGTTCATATACACGCCCATGTATATATACACGAGTGTGAGTGCGCACAAATGTGCATGCGTGCGTACTCCACCGTGCAAATGCAGAATAAATTGGCTCAAGTTAAACTTAAACGAAGAATAATGTCAAGTAACCAAGTGTGAACAACGCAGAGAGTGGGCCAAACGAGTAAAGCTGGACACAAACAAGTAAATGCCATTCTACTGTGATGTCATACACCAGGCATGCGTGCTTGCTTGATTGTGTGCATGCATGCATATGTATATGCCAATATTTGTACTGTGCAAACTTTATCTAGAATATAAGTTTGGTTGCACATATGGGTAACCGGTGCAATAATGCAGTCTAGATGAAATAGGATGTATTTCGCCAGCGGAGTAAAAAAGCACAAAGCCACAGTGGCGCACGTGGAGAGCATACTGAAAGCACATTCTGACAACACGGTCGTGTAAAGCCCTTCATAAGGGAATAAACGGGAGTCCAGATAAAAATCCAAATGCAGATGCATGATAATGTCTAATCGGTAGCATAAAACAAATATGCATCTTCAAATGTATCTCGAAGCGGAAATATGAGGAAGGCTGCTTATAAATCCAATGCATAAAAAGTTTTGGTGTATCCATGATTGTGTGCTTGAGTTAATGAAGAGGAAGAATAGAGCGTTGGTAAACGAATCCAGTAATATATTGCAAATAAGCCCACTAGCACGAAAAGCAGCTGGAAACATAACCAATAGTGAGAGAAAAAAGATAAAACAAGTCCAGTCACATAATATGTGGAGATAAGGTAGTTAAAAATTTCAAATATATGAGAATGAATATGAAAGAGCGATAAGCTATATCTACAAGGAAGCCCAAACCACTATGATCATTGCAGTTTGTCTTTGATTGTATTTCAATGCAGGTGAGCCTGAGGGGAGCAAACCTATGCATTTTTGTATTTTTCTACATGTCTCCCCATCAATAGGCTTCAAAGCATTTCTTAAATCTATCCATAGCGAGCAGTAATCTTTCGGCTTATCGACGTGCAGGAACCGGAGAAGGCCGTCGGAGACCACAAGTAGCCCCAGTGCTAGTCCCTTTGCTCCCAACACTAGAGGGTGCCTGGCGGGCTTTCGCTGACGACGTGTTGGATCCCGGGCCAGGAATGCCTGTGGGTAGCTTTGGAGCCGATTGGCCAGTGGAGATAGCTGTTTCCGGGCCTGTAGATGATGAGGGAGACGGAAAGCCTGAGGCAAAAGAGGAACCAGCAGTTGCGTTGATTGATTGAACAGGCCGGTTTGCCTTGGTCTGCCCTGTGAGGCAATTCACTTGATCGCTAGCTATGTCGTCGGCTGCAGGAGGAGGGGAAGGCTGCAGGGCTGTGCTAGACACTCGGCGAAAAGAAGAAAATGCGGTCTTTAGGCGGCCACGAACCAAGAAACCACCAGTAGGTTGAGCAAGAGCCCCTGTAGTGGTAACATTGGCTGGAGATGCAGATTTATAACCCAAGCGAGTTCCAGGAGTAATGGCGGCTGCTAGCCGTTGGCTGGGCAGGTGCTGCGCGTTAGTCAAACTATTTGCCGGCTGGCCGAGGCCTTGCAGAAGGCGAGAAGCTACAGGCAAACCAGGTGGTGTTCGATGAGATGGCGAATTTTCGTTTCCACTGACAGAACTGGATGCCCTGGAGCCTCCAGTTGAAACCTGAGTAAGCAAAACAAAGAAGTAGGAAATATGTAAACTCGAGATAGACTAATATTAGGCAGTAGCGGGTTGATGCAAATTGATGGCGATCCTCAAATTGAAAAATACATAGACATTTAGAGAAAGTATTTTGTAATCGATCAATGATGTAATCTTCATTGCTACTCACAATAGTCCTTTAGCATCGCTAAAACAAAAATACAATCTTGTAAAAAATTATGGATGCGAAGCAAAAAACAAAACTTGGCTATCCTGTTGTTGTCGATTTTTTAGCATTTAACTTTTATAAAGACAAAAATAAAATTTCTAAGTACACTTTACGAGACACGAGGTGAATAAATGAGTGATTCCTTGCCAAGGAATCTCAATTTTTACTGGATTTTGATTACAATAAATTAACCCTAAATCTGATTAGATAAACTGCAATGAAAATAACATTTATATGTGAGAGTAAAGTAATAGTACACTACATTCAGAATTAGTAAGTTTTATGACTATGAGTGGATCTTTGATAAGAGCTGTAATCATAACTAGCTCTCATAAGGTGAGAAAACCGACTAATCATGAATATAAGTAAAATACCAGTTTACCTCATCAATAATCCTACTATGAAATTTGATATGAGAGGCATGATTTGTCTTGGAAGTAGCAACTGCTCTGTGATCCAATAACACAATTAACAGAGTAGGATAGTGATAATAAGTCAAAAATATAAGCCTCACAAATTGAAATCGATTCGAGTTGGGTATGCTGATAAGATTAGGATGGGGTAAGAACCAGTCAAGATTGATAGAAATACCTTTTGGGAGGGCAGGCTAAGTGAAATTTAATGTTAAAGTGTAGCCTATTCATATCAATTATCAGCCTTGCATAGCCTTATGCAACTTAGGGTGGTGACGACTCTTAGCTAGGCCAAGATCAGTTTATGTCCGTTGTTTGACGAACATCATCAAAGCAAGATATCCTAATAAGCATATTCAAGCTAATGAGTCAAGAGAACTTGAATACGGTTGTAAGGATAATGCTCTGTCCTGATGTCCGTCATAAGCTGGACGAAAGCCTAACATGTTTTCACCAGAATCGAAGGATATTGCATCGTGAATAGCATCAGCAAGAAAGTTCCAGTAAAGTCAATCGACACTTGGTCAAGAGGAATCCGTTATCGTCTTCTGGTGGAATCGACCCTAGAATCTTTTTATCAAACACTTTCCGTCGAAATGGAAGTGAGCCCAACAACTGCTTTTAAATAATACTACTATAGTGTTGATCGCTATTACCGATCTTAGATACAGAGTAAAGTCACATAAGCGATCTACCCTATCTCTACTTGGAAAAGAACAGTTCTGAGAATCACAGTAACTCTAAATAGTTCCTCTAGAATGTACCTTAGAAAGAAACGAAAAGGTAAATTAATTCGATCGTCTTGGAAGCATACTTCATTGGATATACAAATATGACAGGTATGAAGGATGGTTGTCATAGAAAAATCTCATGAAAAAAATTAATCGCTTTATCCTAAGTTGAATTCTATTAACTAGTTATTAAAATGGCTAGCAGTTGGAAAACATCAGTCATACGAGCTGCTGTCAGGGCAGAACATAAATAACTGAAAGCCACACCATCTTGGTCTTCATACCTTCGCTTAAACAAATAAATGGGGTTCCGAAATTTCTCCGAGACTTTAGCCAATTGTAGAAAAATCTGGTTTTCAAAGAATCCCTTTATAGA